GCCCGCCCCCGCCAGCCCCCAGCTCGCGCGGGACCGGTCTAGACACGCCCCCCGCGCGGGCGCCGCTGCCCCCAGACTCCGCCTCCACCCGGGCGGGTTACGGCCTAAAGGCCGGATGGTTAGGTTTCGCGGATCCGGGAAAACCTCCTCTGGCCTTGCGGTCCTCAACTCTCGGGCAAACCCCGGCCCAGGACGGCTGGGCCAGATAGCGCGGCTCCAGTCCCCGCGATGGTATTGGAGGGTCCGCAGGGGCTCGGTGTTGAGGTCGTGCGTAGGGCAGGCCCTCATTAGAGCACTGACTGTGGACACAGTCTTTAAAGTGAGGCCCAGGACGCGGCCGCTGCTGCCCGTGTGGAGGTTTTCCCCCTGCAGGGTGTGCCCTGAGGCTGCGAGTCGCTTCAGGACAGTGCCTGCTGCGTACACAACGCGCTAAGTCGGTATCAGCGGTTGCTCTGGGCCACCTGGGCACATGGATTCTCACTCTTGGGGGCCTCAGCTTTCTTGACTGGGGAATAGGGATATGAATGATAGCTTCCTGCACAGACTAGAGGCCAGAGAGAGGGCAGAGGGGATCCGTAATGAAGCAGCTTTAGTGTCCTTAGGGAGCTGGTTGGTGGCTCTGCCAAGACATGGCACTCTGTACGCTGAGGTTAGGGGGCGCTGGTTGCTCCTCCAGGCTTTGGCTCAATGGATCCTTGTTTCCCAGCATGTCCTGGGAGCTTTCCTGATCTCGGAAGGCAAGTGGGGTGAGGAGGAAAGGGAACTTTGTCTTCCAAGGAGACACCACTTGCAGGAGTTTGGGATGAAGGCTACCTTCTGACCTCAACCTCCCTCCCAGCCCCAACTTTTTTGTACTCCCTGAGTAGTGAGCAGACTGTGGACTCCTGGGGGAGGCTAGCTGGAGCCCAGAGCTGCCATTCCGTAGCCAAGTGGACTTCAGCAAGTGGCTTACACTCTCTATACCAACTTTTCACGTTGTGCCTTAGCCTAAGGCTGCGGTTTCGTCAAGGCCAGGCGAGCCTGCTTTTTGTTTTCCTAGCAGAAGGAAACTGAAGAGTAGAAGAGAAATGGCATTTAAGGTGTCTGTATGCTGAGCCTGCCCTTTGACGGGGATCGGCCAGACGCCTAGCAAAAGGCACTGCAGCCAGTCCCTGTGAGGCCTGATGCCATTACTTTTTTAATTAATTAATTAATTAATTTTTGTTTTGTGTGTATGAATGTTTTGCCTGTATGTATGTAAGTGTATCCAGGTTGTATAGTGTCCTCAGAGGCCAGAAAAGGACCTCAGATCCTCTGGAACTGGAGTTATGACCAGTTGTTAGCTGCCACGTGGTACCCAGAACTGAACCTGGGTCATCTACAAGTGTAACCAGTGCTCTTAACCATCGAGCCATCTCCCCAGCCCCTGAAATTATTTCTTAAGAACAGGGCTTGGAGGAGAGGGGGTTGAGAGGGCTAGCAGTTCAGTTCCCAGCACTTAAGTTTGGCAGCTCACAACCACCTGTAACTCCAGCTCCAGAGGCTCAGATACCCTCTTCTGGCCTCTGAAGGCACATTCACTGATGTGCACATAACCCACATACAGACACACACACATAATTAAAATCTAAAGCAAAGAGTTTAGGCCTAGGAAAAGGACTCAGTTGATAAAGTATTTGCCTGGAAAGTGTGATTATCTGATTTTGATCCCCAAAATTAACATAAAAAGCCTGGCACTATGGTGTGTGCTTATGATTCCAGAGATGGAAAGATGGAAACAGAGACAGGTGGACCCTGGAGCTAATAGCCAGCTAGCCTAACCTACTTCATGAATTTCTAGGCTAAGGAATGACATCCTATTCTGTCCTTTGACCTCTGTACACGTGTGCCCAGTCATGAACACACCAAAGACCAGCGGCATGCTTCCTCCACAACTGACAGGAGAGGAAACTGAAGCTGATATAGGAGAGGCTCTTGGCCTCGTAGGCTACTCAGAACTCCTGGGGGCTTGTACTGCCTCCCACAAGCACAATGGCCCTGTTTGCCCTGTTCTCCAGGCTCACTAGACATTCCCAGGATGGACAGGGAGCTGTTACCAGGGCACTGGAACCCAGTGCTTGCCCCATGTTCATGGACCCTGAGTCTTGAACTCAACTCTTAAAGTGAGTTTTAGAAATGAAACTGAAGGCACAGAAAATGCAAGTCAACCAGAGGCATTTATTAGAAAAGGGGGTTTTCTGTTCACTGTGTTCAGGCCCTGCTCCTGACCTTCTACATGCCTATATCATCTAGGGTGGCAGAAGGCTGGGGGCCAGGGACTGAGAGCAGCAGACTGATTTGGCCCTCCTTAGCTGGATGATTAGGACTGCTTGCTTGGCTTCTGGCTCCCCTGTGTGTTCATTCCTCAACGTTTTGCCGATTTGAGGAGACTGGGGGTCAAGGGCAGTGGGGGCTACATGGGGAGGCCAAGGACTCCTTACCCTGACCACAACCTACAAGATTCATAGCTCACAGGTTAGACAGCCAAGTCCCCATTGGACTGGACCCAGCTAGGCAGGAGGTGGGAAACACCAGGGCCTGGTAGGACAGTCATGAGAGAGTGCTCACCTATGATAGCCTAGTCAAGATCCTGGAACATCCCATGGGACCAAACCATGGGGGAGCTGGTTTTGCCCGCTGTTGTCAGTTTTTTGTTGCTGTGACAAAGTACCTGACCAAAGCAACTTAAGGAAGAGATTTACTTTGACTCACCATTTTAGATGTCTCAGTCTGTGGCCAGTAGGTTCCATTTGGCTGCATCACTGTGGGCCTGAGCTGAGGCCAAAACATCATGGTGGAAGGGTGTGGCAGGGAAAGCAGCTCATCTTATAAGATGGCCAGGAAGCAAAGAGACAGGCAAATGAAGGATCTAGAGACAAGGTACACTCCAGTGACCGGCCTCCTCTAACTAGGCCCCATCTCACTTCTACCACTTCTAAGTAATGGCCTCAGATTATAAATCCATTAAATCAGATCTCCAAGGATCTCAGCTCTCAATGTTTTGATCTACCACCTAGGGACCAATAATTAAACACAGGAGAGTGCTTTTTTTTTTTTTGGTGTTTTTGAAACAGGGTCTCTATAGCCCCTGGAACTCACTATGTAGACCAGGCTGGCCTTGAACTCACAGTGATTCACTTGCCTCTGCCTCCCAAGTTCTGGGACTACAGTCATACACCACTATGCTCGGCCTCAACACAGAAGTTCTTAAAGGACAATCCATAACTAAGCCACAACGCTCACTACAGCCAAGAAACTGAAGCCTGGAGAGGTTGTTACTACCCCAGTAGCCCCTCAGGCAGGGTCCAACATGCTAACCTGTCACAGTGGCAGTCACTATTTACCACCAAGGTCACTGCTGCCTCATCAATAGTCTACAAATGCTGGAAATCCTTATGTTTTGTTTTGTTGTAGCAGAGCTGAAGGTTAAACCCACAGCCTTCTACATACTAGGTAAGCACTCTGCCACCAAGCTACAATGCCAGCCTCACTGGAAATCCAGACCTGTAAATGAGGACAGTATCAATAGCTACCCGCCCCCGCAGCCAGTGTAGGGAATCAGCTACTTCCTTTCCTTGTTAGCAGCACTGGCCCACGAGGGTGCTCCAGGAAGCATGGGGTAGCATGTGGGGGAAATGTTTCTGTTATACCACAGGTGGTGGGCAAGAAGGCCTTGTGTTGCCATCGAGCCTATTCTGTCCTTAGAGACCCTAGGCAGCTCCAGGCTGAGGCTCCTTCATCTCATCTCTGAGGGAGGCGGGAGGATTGTGGCATAGCAATTGAGAAATCTCACTGAGTTTGCATAATTGATCAGTGTTGGCTGCTTGTGGCTGTAGGGGCCATGGCGTCTTTCCTCCCAGCCTCTTTTCCTCAGCTATTCATATGTGTAGGAAAAGCTGGAACATGCAGAGCCTTGTTAGCCTGTGCCCTTCTAGGTGAGTCTGCTGTAAGGGGTTCCCATGTCTGCTGCGTTGTCCTCTCACCTATGACATGTCCCTCTTCCTGCTGGGCTTAGGGTTATTTACCAGCTTTTGTCTGCTGGATGTGACCCAGGACAAGTCTTAAAGTGACAGCAGCTACTGCATCCCTGCTGCCTACCTGCTCTCAAGGCCTCCTAGAGATGCTGAGTAGATGAGCCACCCATAGCCAACTCCTAGATGTTGGCCCTGAGCTGACAGTCCACGTGGAAGTGTCTGCAGGAGAGACTTGAACAGGAAAGGGACACAGTGGGTGGTTGCTGAGCTCTGTGTGTGCACAAGCTATACACACAGACATACCTGCATCTGTTTGCAGGAGGGCACTGCACCTTTGCCAAACAGCTCAAAGCCAGTGTCTCAGCCTATGTCCCTAGTGCTGAGAAAGTCTCATGGGTCACTCCACTAACAGAACCTGACTGATCCCTCTGAGGCTGGCCCTGTTGAGTGGAATTCAGATCCACCCCTCCTGAGCTGTCTGTGTGATTTGGGATGTGTGTGCTAGTCTATAAAGCAGAAACATTCCGAAGAGGGCCTGTCACTTCTAAGCTCTCCTAAATGGTACTACCTCCAGCAAGCAGCTCTGTTCTCCTGGCTAAAGAATGGGGCCTCAGAGCTGGGGAGATGGCTCAGTCAGTAAAACGTTTGCTTTGCAAGGACCTGAGTTCAATCCCCAGAACCCACAGAAAACAAAACAAAACAAAACACTTGGAACCTCAGCACTGGGGGGGGGGGGGCGAAAGACAAAAAAATTCCGGGGGCCCCCTGACCAAAAGGGGGGGGGGGGGGCAGAAGACAAGAAAATTCCTGGGGC